ATATATAATTTTCCAAACTAAATATTGCAAAATAAATCTAATAAATTCCTAAAAAATATAGAAAAATACAAGAAAATTATTAAAATTTACAGAAAATACCCAGAAGTTCTATAAACCCTAAATAACCCTATTGGGTCCAAGATCAACCTATACATTGATTTTAACATAAATGCAACACACACACACACACACACATATATATATATATATACACACATACATATATATTAATTAAAATCCAAAAATAAAAATATAATAATTCATGCTTTTAATTCATAATATCTAACCATGATTTAATTAATAAATTTAATTAAAGCTTTGATACTCAAGGTGAAATTCTTATGAGTTCTAAGAGGAAAGATAGAGAAGAACTCGCTTGAAGGTTTCGAAACGAAACCGACGCTTCAAGTTTTGATTGTCTCTTGCAATCCCGATATCCTATTCTTCTGATCTGGCCTCCTCTTTGTCGGCCTTCTCCTTTTCTCTCTCTCCGTCTCTCTTATTTTTGTAATGTGTAAACTTTTAACCCTAAAGCCTTATGTGTATATTTACACACATTAAAATTCAAATCCTATTCCAACTAGAACTCTCAAATAAAATAATAATCTTTAAATGATATATATTTATAAATATATATTATATTACATATACATATATATACCTTCCATAATTAACCCATTGGTTAATTAAATCATATATACCTATATATATCAATATATATATATATATATATATATATGTTCTTCCATAACACTTATTAATTAATTATATCTATATGTATATAATTGTATATATATATTTATAATTATACAAAAATGATAATTTAAATAATCACATAACCATGGGTCTTTATTAATTAACCCAACAAGGCTTCATCTAAGCCCAAGACCACATCCTTTGGTCCAACTCCTCTTAAGCCCAAACCAATTAATTTAAATAAATCAAATAATTAAATAAACTTTTAAATTAAAATAACTAATTATACTAAGCACATAAACAAAAGAATAAATTGCAACCAAGTCACATTATACCAATAAAATCAACACACCAATAATTCAATCAATAATCAAACACACACAAAACAATCATCATATCAATCACGAAATATAATTTAATTAAAATAAGATAATTAATCTAAGCACTTAATTAAATAAAAATAAAAATAAATCATTTAACAATACAATAAAAGCAATTGACCTCAATTAAATCAAACAAATCATTTAAAAATAAAATAAAACTAATTAATCCCAATTAAAAATCCTTTAAAATATCGGGGTATTACAGAACACACCTTCGTGTCTCTAATGGAGGATTCCAGAGTTAGGGTTTCTTCCTTAGGGGTTAGGGTTTGCTCCGATGGCCAACTGAAAGAGTCTTGATGGAAAGAGGGAAAAACATTTTCACAAGTTAGGGCTTCGATTTGACCGGCAGTGTGAGTGTGTTTTTTTTTGTGCGGGTGTCTGGATTTGTCTACTGTGGATCATTTGCTCTGTAGATGCCCAGTGGCGGTCATGGCTTGGAGAGTTTGCCGACTTAGAATTGAAATAGATATGGATCAGAGGCAGTAGTGGTTGTCTTGATGGATTTCTTTGTGTGGAAAAACGATGATTTGGTGAACATAACCATGGTAGAAAGGGCTAGCTTTTCATCACGGTTCCTCAAAAACCGTGGTAGAAAGATCATAACCGTGGTAGAAAGAGTCTTCTACCACGGTTTTAAAGTAATCATGATAAAAAATATACTTTCTACCATGGTTATTTTAAAACCGTGGTAGAAAGGGTCTTCTACCACGTTTTTTTTTTTTTTAAAACCGTGGTAAAAAGTGCGTAGTAAAACACTATTTTTCTTGTAGTGATCATCGGCGAATAGAATATTCTGACATTTCCTATGTTATATTAGAGACTTATTTATATATATATATATATATATATATATATATATATATGCAGGGGTGGAGCCAGGATTGAATTTGAAGGGGGGAGAGGAGTAGTGTATTTGACGAAAAACAAAAATATCCAACTAACATCAGATTTTTTTTTTTTTTTTTTTTTCTTACATCAAAAAAATCTAGCTAACATCATAAATTTATTTATTTTTTTCAAATCAAAAGGCAAACAAAAAAATTATTCAATGCTAATATTGATTTGTTGAATTGAAAAGGACAATTAAAATATTTGGCAAAAATATAAGAACCAAATATAGATTTTGATAATATTTCTATTGGATACCAAAATAAATATTTGCAAATTATAGTATAAATAACAATTATAGTATAAAATAGTTAATACAACCATGCAGATCAAATTGCTGAATATTTTGATAGGTAAAATGACTGAATCACCTTCAATATATCATTAAATGTTTTTTTGAAGAAGGGGGGAGGGGGGGGGGGGGGGGGGGCGGGGGGGCCTATTTGAACTTAAAAAAAAAAAAAAAGAATACACATAATAGTACTAATTTTTGTTTTTTTAGGGGGCCCCTACTCGGTATACAGTCCCTCTACCCCTGTATATATGAGTCTCTAATATAACATAGAATTTGTTGCCAAAGAATTGTGCAACTGTCATGGAATTTTCTCACAAGGACCACATTACACGTGTCAAGCATGTGCAATACTCACACACAAAATTACTGAAATACCCATGGGAGGACAAATGTCATTGTAAACCAGAATTTTGACATTTTCAAGCTGTAACAAGGATCTGTAATACAATGTAACTTCCTAAATGAATTTCAAATGGACTTGCACATACTGAAAATTACCATATTGCCCCTAAAGATGTCAGAAATGATTAATGCACACCAAAACTTGTCATACACAGCATAAATGTATTTGTGATCATACTTTTGACATTGTAAAGGCAAAACATGAATTTAAAGGCTGGGACCAACAGTTTTGGTTTCACACATGAGTCGTGTTGGAATGGAATGATTATTACCATTCCATTATTTAGTTTCACACGTGAATCGTGATGCATTTATTAGTAAAAGTACTTACATACATACATATTTATTGTCTTGAGAACTTATTTTTCGAATTTTTATATAGCTTGAGGAGAATATAGCATCAGGATCCTTTTTGTTACAACACTATGCTCAATATGTACTGCAGAGGACTGTTGTGATCGCTCACATTTGTAGAGCGATCAAATGTGTGAATGATCTTAGCCTTTCATTGTAGTACAACATGTATCCTTGATCGATCGAGCAAAACGATCGACGTCATTTTGCGTTATTTTTTTTTCAATAATTATTCCCACATTTTTGTTTTGCAAACCGTTAAAATTTTTTAATCCAATCATCTCTAATGAACTCCTCAATTCCTCTCTCTCGCTCAGTATTTTTCAATGTACACAACCTCGGTCGTCATTTATTAGAGCAAAGATATGAAAGGTTGTGTTGTGTGATAAAACCTAGATTTAGGCATCCGATTCTCTCTCTATTTTTTTATTCTTATGATGATGTTTTGGAGTTTTACAAAATAAATCCACTTGTCAAAGGTTTTAATCAGAATTTTAAAATTCATAATTGAATGTTACTTTGTTTCATAAATAATATTTAAAACATTAAAATTATCTAAACGCATTAAAATTATCTAAACACATTGTTTTTAAATTCTTAAGATTCATATCCATTGTTAATTTGTTACCCCAAGTCAATCCTAACCGACTACTCCTTTGAAATTTTTTCTATTTTTTATTTGTTTCATTACTTCATTTCATGCATGATATGTAAAGAAGGATAATACTTAGGTCCTCACTAATCAGGATCTACAACATACTCATTACTAATGTGGACCAATAATAAATTGACATGTGATCCTTAATTACCAAATCATAGATGGTAATTTCTATGATTTGGTAAGTAAATATCTACCACAATATTTGATTTGATAATTAAAGATCACATATCAATTTATTATTGGTCCACATTAACGGTGAGTATGTTATAGATTCTCACTAGTGAGACCTAAATATTGTCCTTTAAAGAATTAGTTTCTAATTTCCATTCTGACCGGAAGTCAATCAGGTCCTCTATTGTGACCAATAGTGTTGTTCCATATATACGGCCAAAATACGTCGTTTTTGCATCATTTTTCCAATAATTATTCCCCATTTTTCATTTTGTTTAACTGTTAAAATTTTTAAATCCAAACAACAACAATGAACCTCTCCATGAATGTTCAGTGCTCTCTCTCTCCCTCAGTAATCATCTCCGACAAACTCACCCTCAATTAATCTCTTTCTCTCCCTCAGTATTTTCCAATATACACAAAACTCGGTCGTCATTTATATATTGAAGGAAAAATATGAAAGGTTATGTTTTGTTAAACCCTAAATTCAGGTATCCGATTCTGTTTATATATATATATTTTCATTACATTGATTTTAATTGTTTCTTATGATGATTTTTTAGAGTTCTGCAAATTAATTCCAATTTTCAACGCTAGTAATCGAATTTTAATATTTTTAATTTAATGTAATCTTTTTAAAAATAAAAGATAAAAATTCATTACTTTGTCTCCTAAGTAATATTTAAAATTTTTAAATTTTCTAAACCCATTGTTTTAAGATTCCCATCCATTGTTACCCCAGTCAATCCTAATCGACTACTCCTTTCAAATTATTGTCTACTTTTTATTTGTTTCATTACTTTGTTTCGTGTTTGATATTTAAATAATTAGTTCCAAATTTCCGTTTTTACCCGGAGTCAATTGCATGTTTCTTCCATTTCAATACAATTAGCTCATATTTCTAACACAATATATATATTTTAATAATTTACGCACTCAGTTCCACTTTTCAATTCATTATATCCGAAGCAATTAATTCATGATAAAGAATTCAACACACATAATTATGTAATTAAAAACACTTATTTTCAAAAATAAAAATGCCAGAGTAAACACACTTTATTCAAGACATTTGATTACAGAATTAAGCACCATTAATTCCACAATTGATTGAATTTAACTGCAACAGGACGATCTCCATATGGGTTTAATTCTTCTTTTTAGCTGCACCAGCAGGAGCTGGTTTTTTAGCCGCAACAGGAGCACCCGCTTTTTTAGCTGCACCCGCAGGGCCTCCATTGGGGTTTAATGGATCTGGGTTCTTAGCTGCACCAGCAGGATTTGGTTTTTTAGCTGCACCAGCAGGATTTGGCTTTCCTGCATTAGGAGCAGGTTTGTTGTGTGCATACCCATGAACAAATAAGAGAGAGAGAACAAAGAGAAGAATGGTGACTCTGAACAAGACCGCCATAAAGATTAATCTTTTATTGGAAGCTGGATTAATCTTTTATAAGAGACTCTTGCCAAAACCACACTTTTATCTCCTCCCTCTTTAGCTCTATTTATACTTACAATAAGGTGCTTACTGGGTCTGGCAACAATGCCTAAATAAAGAAAATGCTCCTAAATTAATGTATGTTCTCCACAATATATGCAAATATATTAGTATGTTAATACAATTGTGTATGGTTGAGTGCTTTCAGGGGCTTGCAGCAACAATGCCTAAATAAGGAAAGTGCTCCTCTATGTGTATGTGTGTGTATATATATATATATATATATATATATATATATATATTCCACAATACAAGCCAAAATAATAGTAGAGTATATTTGAATTTGCTACATATGTCAAAAATCATTTTTCTCATTACATTTACTATGCTAAGACATGTATTGTTGGGTAATTATCTAACAATACTATGTAAATGGCATTGACTTCTTTCTTAGTTTTCCCAATATAATTTACTTGAAAGGATTACTATGGCATTGGAATATCAAGTTTAAATAAAAATATACAATGAAAAACAAAACAAAATGAAGTTAGGTGTTTGATTCAAAACAAAGAAAGAAAAGAAATAAAGTTGTACGAGAAACTCAATATGAAGAAGGAGAACACACACAACTATTATATAAAACTCGCAAATTTTGATATATTCTTTCTCACTTCTTGCTTACAAAAGAATTCAAGAACATGTATTTATAGGCACTGTGATACCCCCTAATTTCGGAACACGGGTTGATCAAGTCCGCGCACAAAATTAGGGGATATCAAAATAATTAAAGTATTTAAACAAGCACAGATTACAAAATGAAATAAAGAATAAAATAAAACTCTGAAGAAATCTAATTAATAGTAAATCCATTAATAACTCCCAAATGGTTACAATTCGGGAATCCTGTAACTCAATGACCCCTTAACCAAAAGTTACTATTTAGAATTCCAACCAAATAAATACTAATATCAACTGAAACAATAATAATATCCTACTTTTAAATAAACAGAAAGAATGGATAAGTCCTCCAGCTGCGGATCCTCAACCTTGAGACTTGACCTTCTAACAACCTGAAAAATAAATCGCGGGTTAAACCCTACGAACAAGTTCCATCTACCAAACCTCTGAAAGCCAATAAACAAATCATCTATATCAAAACAAACCCTAATAAAGTTTAAACTTTAATATACAATGCTATAAATATATATAAATACTTTTATACAATACAATAATCCTATCTATTAATAGGTGCAGTTAAATTGTTAAATCCATTTACCAACGATTAATTAATAATCAGACCTAGACCAAAACCATCACTTATAATTTTCCTATAAAATAAACTCCACTCACCTTAATTCCAACCTAACCAGTAATTTAACCATTTGAGCTATAAATTACAATTAAATGAATAATCCACTAAAATTCAAAACCTAGTAATACTTTTGATTGTTTAAATTACATGTTCAGAAATTTAAACTTTCACAAATCATTCATGTCTCCGCCAACAATATTTTATTAATATATACCAAGTAATACACTAATATGTAACCACTAGATTATTCTAATTGAAGAATATCTAACTTAAATCCAACTCATACCTACCGTACACATAGATGAATTTAATCATCTAACATACATAGCAATTTAATTATGCTATAGCAATTCAACCATGCTATTGTGAATATATTTATTTATATATTGGCAACTCAACCATGCCTCCTCAAGTATATATATTTATACTTTTAATTAGCAATTCATCCATACTTTCCACGTATGTATTTTATCTATACAAATAATAAGGCAATATATTTAAGCCTTTGGTAACTCATCCATGCCTACTATTCAACCATGTACCAACCTTAAACTTAACTAATAAGCTAAATCACATATACACATCTCTTGCATATAATAAGCATGTCAATAATTAATAACCAACATATTCAGATATACCAAATAAAACTTATAATAATAATTATCTTAAATGATATCCATATACACATATATTATGTAATATATACGTATATAATATCTTCCATACTATATATACATATACAGATGTATATATATATAACTACTTCCTTCCATCCTAATCGCAAGCTAAATAAACCATATACTCATGTACGATTATAAATAAATAACTAAATAAATAAATAAATAAATATATATATATATATATATTCATTCCCTTCTATAATAATCATTAATTTATTCTGTTACACAAGCTAAAGGCTACCACATATCTTAGTAACACTCTACAACCTTTAGAAAAACTAGAACACCTCGAGACTTATTCAAGAACCTCTCCGGACTTTACCGGACCTTTTCGAGATACCAAATACCTTACTATGCGCCTCTACACTCTCCGAAGCACCTTGCACGCGCTTCCACACATCTTTCCAAGCACGCACGCGCTTACACGCGCCCTCACACGTGCTGGAGAGTGAGCACACGCTCACACGTGCTGAGACGCGTTGCCACGCACGCGCACGCGCGGCCACGCGCTGCCACGCGCGTTGGCTATCCCTCTTGCTGACGCGGCGCGCTCCTATTGGTTAGTTGTACTGTGTCCCTGCTGGTGCGCTGCAGCGAATCACTCCACCATCATTCACCTCATCCAACGATCTAGATCAGCGTAGCCATCAACATGTTATACACCGTAATGCACTGAATCAATCTATTATGTATTTCAAAATTCAATGCCCCAGATTCACATACACATACCTTTAGCATAGGCCGCACCACACTAGAATATCACCCTTCTAAACTACCACCAGCGCGTAAACATATACAGTATATATATATATAATTAATTTGCACATATATAATTATATATATATAATTCTAAATATCCGAATTTTTTCTAAAAAATATCAAATCAGTCCAGAAAATTCTAGGAAAAATCCACAAGCTTAATTTATTAATTTTGGCCATAACTAAATATATGTAATTATATTTTGGTCCATTTAATTTAATTAATCACGCTACATAAAGTCAAAACAAACTATAAGAAAATTTCAGAAATAAAATTTAATTAACCTTCCCTCACATACAATATTTAAATTATCCAAACAATTCATACATATATTCACATGTTTAAATCTATAAAAAAAAAAAATTAAAAAAAACAAACATGCTCATCTAATCCGATTAATAATTTAATTCAATAAAATACAATTATTATTTCGATAATCAATGTGATAAGTTTATGAGTTCTAATAGGAGAAGTAGAGAAGAACTCGCCTTTTCTTTTCCAGATCCGGTCTCCTCTTACGTTCTTTGATCCGGCCTCCTCTTCGTTAGCCCTTCTTCTTCTCTTTCTAATTCTCGTATTTTTCTAACGTGAAAAAACTCCTAACCCTAAAGTCTTATGTGTCTATTTATACACATCCAAAAACCTAAATCCTTTTCCTATTAGGATTATCATATAAAATAAATAATATTTATCTTTTAAATAATATATATACATACATATATTTATTTTAATATAAATATATATATATATTACCTTCCATATATAACCATTAGTTAAATAAATTATATATACCTATATATATCAATATATAATTATATGGACATATATACCCCTACACATGATTTAATAATGAATTAATATACACATGTAATTATATAGGTATAATTATGCAAAGATAATTATTAAATATCCTCACAACCACGGGCCTTTACCAATTAACCCCACAAGGCTTCCTTCAAGCCCAATACCACATCCGTTGGTCCAACTTCCTTTAATCCCAATCCAAATAACTTAAATACCTAAAATAATGAAATTAAATTTAATAGCTACCAATAATTAACAATAAAGTTACACCAACATAAAATCACGCAAATCAAATAAACAATTCACTAACTAGCATTCCACAAATCAAACACCATATAAATTTAACAAATAAAATTACAAAATATAATTTAATTAAAACAATACAATTTACCTACGCACTTAATTAAATAAAACAAATCACAACTATCAAGCACCTAATTAAATAAAACAAATCATTTAAAAATAATAATAATAATAATATAATATAAATTAATTTAATTAATAAATCCCTTTTAAAATATCGGGGTATTACCACCAATACTTGACTCTAGAAAAATACAAACACTAACTTTAACACGAGTGTTTTATCTCCCAATGAGATAGTTCATATATTCCACACTTGAGTTGGTTCATGTATTTCACACTTGAGTTAGTTCATGAATTCAACCCTTGATATTTCCAACATTTGGTTTAATCTTCCAACAATGCCCCCCATAAACCAAATTTGCTTTTTATTCCCAACTTTGCAAGATTCTTCTTGAATAAAATTCCACCAAAAGTCTTTTTGTTTGGTGACAGATTAACCAACTCCCATGTGCCATTCTTTTCAATGGCTTTGATTTCTTCATTCATTGCTTTCTTCTACTTTTCTTCTTTGTAATTCATAAGGGATTGGATCTCCCTCACAAACATTATATTGAGCCTTATAGCCGTTACATGCATCAAATTTCCAATGCTTTCAAATGCAAAAATCTTCTTTGCAATCTCCTTTGATGTGAAAGCTTTGTATCTTGTCTTCTTCATGTTTCTAGTACTTTTCTTGACCTGACCTTGAAACTAATTTCCAATGTTGTTCTTGAGATTCACTTGAAAATTTCCGCACTTCTTGAATTTACTCTTGACTTGCCATTTAAATCAAAGAACGCTTCAATGTTCACCCATGTCATATTACTTGAGAACTATTCTATACAAACGTTCTTCAATTTTTCTTCTACTATAACATCATCCAATTGAACATATTCCGTTTCTTCTGAAATTGAGTACGTTGCTTCATACGGAATTTCAAACCATTTGTTTTCTTCACCAAGATTTGATATTCCAATTTCTTCACCAAATTCAACTCCATAGATTTCTTCTTTCATGATAACTTCAGTTTCTTCAAAATCTAATTTTTCTTCTTTCTCATTTTCATCTTTGAATTTTTTTTTCTTCATCAACATCAACTCCTCCTCTTCCTTCTTTTTAAAACTCCACTGTCACCATTTTCTCATCTTGCATCTTTTTACTTTTTTCATCCAACTCTATATTCATACATTCCACCTTTTCAAAATCTTCTTTTTCTTCCATCTCATCAAAATTTTCTTCATTTTCATCTTCCCAACTTATTTCTTCAAAAAATTCATCTTCATCGTAATTTGGGAACCAATATTCAACGAATAATTATTGGACTTCATAATTAGATGAAGAAATAAATTCAAGCTTTTGCCATACTTGACTTGGAGATTTCAAATTTTCAACATGCTTCCAAACTTCTTGATGAACTGCACTTTTCAGTATCTTTAGCACCTATTCTTCTTTCTATTCTTGAATTTTGTTTAGCAGAAAACACTTTGGATTTTTCATCACATCATACCAAAAGCCACATGCTTTAAGATAAACCAAAATGATATTGCTCCAGTAGGCATAATTTGAGAGAATCAATTTTTCATTCATTTTTTTCGATCTTTGGACGACCTCCTTGAATCTTCTTTGAATTGATTTTTCACGAGCCAAATTTTATTTTACTTCACGCTTCAACATCACTCCACCTTTCATACTTTCAGAATCATAGAATCGTTGAGGCTTTGATATCAATTTGTAAGAGGCTCTGATACCAATTTGTAGATGGCTCTGATATCAATTTGTAAATGGCTCTGATATTAATTTGTAGGAGGCACTCAATATGAAGAAGGAGAACACACACAACTATTGTATAAAACTCACAAATTCTGATATACTCCTACAAAATCCTTCAACTATATCTTCAATAAGTGATTACGCGTCTCTAAGCCTAGAATTAAAATTATTTGTAATTTATGTAAATTTTGATTTTTAGAATATTATTATTATTTATCACATATTTGCATTTATGTGATTTTCTACTCTTACAATTGAAAATACTGTCATTTTAGTGATTTGGTTCCAACATTATATTACTTCATGCCTATACAAAGTGTACAAGGGACAATTCTTTAGCTGAACTACATTAATACCAAAGGGGAATGCGCATTCTTCTAAGTTTATGCCAAAGGGGAATGCGCCTTATTCTAAGTTATTTCTCCCCGAAGGCTTCAATACATTCCCAACTCTATTTTGTGCGGACGATGTTCTTGTTAGGAATTGCATCTCAAATTCTATTATAATTTGTTGTCTATTTCAGAGTCATATTTTATCGTGAAATTTAATTATTTGATAATGGTTGTAGTCCAAGGAATTGTAATCCTTGTTGGATAAGGAATTAAGTTTTAGGACTATAAATAGTTACCTAGGTTGAATGTTGAGAGTTGTGGGAAGTAGAGAGATGTAGCTTTATAAGGGAGTACGTTGATGGGTAGAGGTGAGTTACGGGGTTGGTAAACTGAACATTGATCGTGAGAGGGAGTCTCGTGGAGTGGTATACTGAGAAAAACGGGGCAAGAGTTTGCATTTGTACACGGTCCAGTGTTCGGTATTATCTTCGGTTGTAATATCTCTACATAGGGGCGGAGCAAGGATTTAAGTTGAGAGAGGCACAATGTTTGGGGAAAAAAAAAGTGAGAGAGAAGAATTTAAAGAAGTAGAAGGGGAAAATAAAGAAAAAAAGGAAAGAAAAATAACAGAATTTAGAAGGAAAAAAATTAGAGTTTAATTTAAGAAAAAAAATTTAATTTAATTTAATTTTTTTTTTTTTATGAATTTAAAAAGTAAAAGAGAAAAGAACTAAAAAATTAATAGATAACTTTAGATACTAATAATTTTAGGGGTGGCATTAACTTCAAATTTTTATATATTTATATATATAAAAAATTGCCATATATATTTAATGGGCAGGGCTTGCGCCCCAGGCATGCATTGCGCCCCTGTCTCTACATATGAAGTGACTCTGTTCTCATTCATGGATGTAGCCCTGATTTTTGGTGAATCACATATATAGATCTTATGTTTTGGTTTGGTTCTGTAAATTGTTTGGTTTTCTGCTGTGTGTGCTTGTTTGTTTCCTAACAATCTATGGTTGACTGTAGAATGGCAAGTCCCTTCCATTCCATTCTCTTCTTTTTCGTGATATATTCAGATAAATCTTTATTCTCTTTAGTCAGTGTTTTTCCTTTCATAAGTTAATGAACCAATACATTTTCAATTGTTGGCCTTGAATAGATGTGATGAGGCATCATTGATAATTACTTTCCAAAACTGAATTAGAGAATCTCTAACTTGGTTAACATTTGCCTATTTTTATACATTCAGGGGATTCATGGGTATCCTATTGAAATACAAGCACTTTTATTTATGGCTTTTAGAAGTGCTTTAGTTTTTATTAAGAATGATGATGACGGCAAGGAGTTAGCTGACGGAATAGTTAACCAGTTTCATGTGCTTTTAAGCTATAATAACATGCTAATCTATTTTTGGCTGCACATAAAGCAACTTAATGACATATGTGGTTATAAGACAGAAGAGTACTCTCATATAAGTTTTAAACAATTTTCAAACATAAACATGTTCTGTGTATGTCTTTAGGTGCATGCACATAATTTTGTCATCATAGTTATAGCTATACCGCTTGGCGGTATCTAATTCATCAATAGGATGGATTTTATGTTTTCATTTATAATTTGGTGGTAATTCTATTGACTTAGCGGAAGCTATGAAATCCTTCACTAAGAACTACTTCGAATTCACAAAGTAGGATAACTTTGAATTCACAAAATTGAATAAGAATTGCAAAGCAATTTGAAATATTATTAATCTAAAGTTAAAATTCTAAGCATATTTATAATAAATAAAACTCTAAAATTGTAAAGGAAACTAATAATAAAAAAGAAATTAATTGCTTAAGTAAACTAAAAATATAAAGAAACTAATGCTACGTTTCGTGTGTAGGAATAGAATGGAATAGAATGCCTATTCCAACCATTCCTTTGTTTGGTATGCAAATTAAAGTAGGAATGGCCATTTCATTAGAATGAAAATCCATTCCTGGGAATAAAAATTCATTCCACAACTAAACCTATGGAATAGCCATTCCATTCCTAAGTAAATTTTTTTAAAGAATCAACTTCCCAACAAACCCTTATCTAAGTCCAAAAACCACCATTACCTTCCACCACAACCACATTCGTCTTTCACCACCACCACCACTACCACTGCCTTCCACTACCGCCACCGCCACCGACTTTCACCATCGCACACCGCTTTCCACCACCATCACTGACACCGCCTTCCTTTGCTGCAAATACCAGCACTGCTATTGCCTTTTAACACCACCACCACCACCTTCCACCACCAACGCTGCCATCGCCTTTCACCACCGCCACCACCTTCCACCATAGCCACTGATTTCCACCACCATTGCCACCACCGCCACTATCTTTCACCATCACTACCACCTTCCACCACTGCCTTCCATAACCACTTTTCATCGTTACTGCCACCACTATTGCCGTAGCCGCATTCCACCGTCGTCGCCGCCATTGAGGCCACCACCGCCATCGCCTTCCACCACCATCACTGCCATCTCCTTCCACCACCTTCCACCACCACCACCGCCATCGTCTTCCACCACCGCCGCCACCACCATCTACCACCTTCCACCACCACCATCGTCATCACTTTCCACCACCACCACCTTCCACTACCGCCACCTCCACTACCTTCCACCACCACCACCACCACAATCACCTCCATTGGCTTCTACCACCACCACCTACACCACTATCTCCTTCGACAACAACCACCACATTACTACCACCGCTTTCCACCAACTCCACTACCACCTTCCACCACCGCCACCACCGCCTTCCACCATTGCCACCACGTATACCACTACCGTTTTTCATCTCCACCATTGCTACCACCACCATTTATTTTTAAGAAAATTTTAGAGAATGTTATTTTGTTAATTTAATTTATTTTTTTATTAAGAGGGATATTTTGGATAATTTAATTTGAAATTTATTCCCTTCTAAATTTTAAATTGATCTAACCAAATAGTAGAATAGTTATTATCATTCCATTCCTACACATTTCATATTTACAACCAAACAAAATAATGGAATGGTCATTCCATTCCATTCCCATTCTCATTCAATTCCCATTTTCATTCCATTCCCACTTGCATGGAAATTTAAAACTTTAAATTAAGCTCTTTAAAAATTATAAAAAATAAAAATAAAAATAAAAATAATATAAAACCTAACAAAAACGTCGTACTCGAATTAAATAGTATTTTCATATAACTATTGAACCAGACCACATTCGTACTAGCATAGTAAATGTTTTGAGAAAAATGATTTTCGACAGCAAATTCAAAGATACTCAACTATTATTTTGGCTTGTATTGTGGAGTGTGTGTGTGTGTGTGTGTATATATATATATATATATATAGGAGCACTTTCCTTATTTAGGCATTGTTGTTGCCAGCCCCTAAAAGCACTCAACCATGCACAATTGTATTAACATACTAATATATTTGCATATATTGTGGGGAACATACATTAATTTAGGAGCATTTTCTTTATTTAGGCATTGTTGCCGGACCAAGTAAGCACCTTATTGTAAGTATAAATAGAGCTAAAGAGGGAGGAGATAAAATGTGTGGTTTTGGCAAGAGTCTCTAATAAAAGATTAATCGAGCTTCCAATAAAAGATTAATCTTTATGGCGGCCTTGTTCAGAGTCACCATTCTTCTCTTTGTTCTCTCTCTCTTGTTTGTTCATGGGTATGCACACAACAAACCTGCTCCAAATGCAGGAAAGCCAGTGAAACCAAATCCTGCTGGTGCAGCTAAAACCCCAGATCCATTAAACCCCAATGGAGGCCCTGCGGGTGCAGCTAAAAAAGCCGGTGCTCCTGTTGCGGCTAAAAAACCAGCTGTTGCAACTAAAAAAAATAAATATTGAAGTAAACCCATACGGAGATTGTCCTGTTGCACTTAAATCCAATCAATTATGGAATTAGTTGTACTTAATTCTATAATCAAATGTCTTGAATAAAGTGTGTTTACTCTTTTGAAAATGTGTACTTAATTACATAATTAAGTGTGTTGATTCTCTATCGAGAATTAATTGTTTTGGATGTAATGAATTTAAAAGAAGAATTGAGTGTATTTAAATCTTAAAATATATATTGCATTGAAAATATGAACTGATTGTATTGAAAAGGTAGAAATTTGCAATTGACTTCCGTAAGAAAGGATTAAACCCATATGGAGATAATCCTGTTGCAGTTAAATTCAATCAATTGTGGAATTAATGGTGCTTAATTCTGTAATCAAATGTCTTGAATAAAGTGTGTTTACTCTGGCATTTTTGTTTTTTGAAAACATGTGTTTTTAATTACATAATTATGTGTGTTGAATTCTTAATCACGAATTAATTGCAATGGATATAATGAATTGAAAAGTGGAACTGAGTGTGCCAAATTATTAAAATATACCTTGTGTTAGAAATATGAACTAATTGTATTGAAATGGAAGAAACATGCAATTGACTTCAGGTAAAAATGGAAATTTGGAACTAATTATTTAAGGAAAATGCTAATTTCGACTACCACTGTTCACCCGACATTAGCCCACAAACACTTGTCAAAAGCACATTGGTGCAGCTAGGCACTTTACTCTCTCAGTTCTTTCAATTCTCTCATCTTTTCTCCCTTCTCTCTCCTGCTCGGTTTCTAAGCCAGTCAACGTTCCCGTAGCCAAGCCAAAAGTGAATTCCTCTGTCCCTTGTCTGACATTTGATAGTTAGAAAATGTCGTAATTGCCAACGTCTCCCCTCTCAATCTCTCGCCCGGGTGAAAAAACAAAAAGGTGCAAGACCACTGAATGGAGATTCCAAGCCGAGTGACTCATTTTCCATCCCTTGTGACTAGTAAAATTGGTTCTGGTCCGGCAATGGGTGGGCCGGAACTACAAGGACGTATGGCGATCTATTGTTTGGATCTGGTCAGGCACGGAATCAATGAAGGCCTAGGGGGCACGTGGCCCCTGAGTTGGCCCACATTCTATAATATATGTATGAAAAAAATTATATAGTGCCCCCCTCAATTTTGTAGTTTTTAAAATTATATTTTTATTTTTTTCTTTATTTTCTCTTTTACTCATCAAATTTCTTAATAGAAAAAGTCAAAATTTGGTTCCTCAATTGAAACTTTTTAATTTTTTTCTTTTTAAAGTTGTCTCATTTTTCTTTCCCTTTTATTTTTCTACTTCTACTCTTAAAATTCTTCTTTTAAACGTACATATTTGAATAATTTTCTTCTTTTTTGTCTTTTGAATTTTATAGTTGTTATATATATAAATGCTGCCAAAAAAAAAAATACGGACTCCCGGACTTGAAATCCTGGCTTCGTCACTGGATCTAGTGTCATCGATTTCGCCAGACCACTGTCGTCCGCTGTCGTATTCGCAGCAAGCACGACCATTCAGCGTCACGCCCAACCACTGTCGTCTACCGCCAGTAAGGATGAGTCCACCAAGGACAGCCACTGCCGAATAACAATGCTGAAGAAGGAGCGCGTGGACGCGACTAGATCTACTTATAGGAGTGTGTGGGCACGTGTCACTTCCGGTGAATCTCTGAAACTGCCGTTCTTCGTTGTTGCTGCCATTGACTTGCCTTGGGTCACCGGTTCTGGTTACCCTGTTTTTCCATCTGCCAAATCAGTCCGCACCGTTGCCGCATCACCGCCACCAACGTCGATATATTCTCTCCGTCCAAGTGTCTCTGTACTCCGCTGCATGTCTCATCCGCAAGCCGTCGCTAGAACAAATGGTCTCTGTAGCTCACCGGAGATGATGGATCTCGGGATGTTTGTCTTTGGTTTCTTCTTAGTTGGCGCCATTTCTTGTACTGTGGTGTCTTATGGAGATAGAAGATGGCAATGTGGACAATCACGTAGATGAGTTGGTGAATGTCGGGTGAAGAATAGTCGGGCAGTGTAGCACCGCTCATTATTTAAATATCAAACACGAAACAAAGTAATGAAACAAATACAAAGTTGACAATAATTTGAAAGGAGTAGTCGGTTACGAATTGACTGGGGTAACAATGGATGGGAATTTAAAAACAATGTGTTTAGATAATGAAAATCATGAACATCATGAAAGTTCTTTCATAAAAATCATGAAAAGCGTGGCAGCATTCTATTTGCCACATTTTTCATTTTTTTTCTTTTTTATTTAGATATATATATATTTGGAAAGTTTTTATTCCTTCTTTGAAAATAGAGTAGATACAATTTTATTTAGAGAGCACATCTCTCTTTATGTCTAGGAGGAAAATAATATAATACACATGCATAAGAAGTGATAGAGAGGACTAGTTGTGAAATGGGGTTTTTAGTTAGAGAAATGATTATTATTCTATGAATATAACCTTGCTTTCAAAAGTTAAAATTTAGGGGTCCACGCTTAGAGTTCAAATCAACCCAACATTCTGTAGAAGAGTTCAAATCAACCCAACATGCATAATGTGTCGCAAATAAGGTTGTTTTCATTCTATTTATCATTTATAGCTTCTTGATAAAGAATCCTATGCGTACACAGCAACATGAGTACCGCAACAAAAGGCTGTGATCCTTCATGTGGGTGATTGTAACAGTAGAGGTTCCCGGAATTATATTCTCATCTAGCTAAATAAAAAAGTTGAAAAATTAGTTCACAAGACAATAAATATGTATTTATGTAACCATTCTTACTAATAAATACATAAAAATAAAAAAGTTACCGAGGATTTAATTTCACGCAAAGAATATTTTACAATAAACTTATTGTTTCTTTTTCAAAGCTGCCAAGAATGTAATTTTATCTAATTATACACGTTAATGATAGTTCTTTATTCACTTTCAAGTATTAATTCAAGTTTTATTTTAATCACCTTGCAAAAATGTGGCTGAGGATTTAAGTATATAATTGAATACGTTGGATGTATAAGTATATATATCTCACATACAACTACAAAAATTCTGGTAGCAATTTTATTTGTTGGTAAAATAAAAAAATAAAATAAAAAAATAATAATAATAATAAAAATGTTGCCATAGCTACTTGGCAACATTTATTTACTTCGGATATGGCTTAGCGGTTTAGTCGTTAGACTTTAGAGCTTAGCAAGCCCAAGGTTTTGGGTTCGAGTCTCGTTGGATGTTCTTTGTGATTAGCCTCCGCTACCCGTGCAATAATTTATCCGGCCCGGGTGGGGAGGCGCCCTTCCGAGGATTAGTCGGATTGTTGAGGGGCTCTAAGGATTCGTGCCATCCCGGACACCCCGGGTTAATCAAAGAAAGAAAAATATATATATTTATAGACAGCATTTATATTTGATGTCATGGCTTGTGTCACGATATGCAGCAACTATGAAAAATGACAATTTTTTATTTTTTATTTTTTTATAAAGGTTATAACAATATATTTAAATGGAGCAAATTTTTTTAAAAAAAATTAAGTTCTTATAATTAAGGCCAATCCATTCATAAACCAAATGTACTAACC